GCCAAGGAGCTTGAGTCGGCTAAGTCAGAGGTTATTGTGGTCAGGGAGGAGGCTGATGATAAGGTAGCCCAACATAAAGTTGATGCCAAGGTGATTCAGGACCAATCGAGAAACACGGTGAAGTATGTGAGGTGGCAATCCTGAAGGGAGGCCCTCGAGGGAGTCCATGCTCAGAATTTTGACGTATTGGTTGAAATCGAAAATGCCAAGATATACGAAGCCAAGTCCAGGAAGCTGTCTTATCCGGAGGAAGGTTCCGAGGGATCCGAAAATTCAGGTGAGTCCGATGGTGGCGAAGACCTTGTAGGTGACGATGTAGCCCCCGATGAAGATTAGGCCGTTTAGGATCTTTTTAGGTGTTTTTGCCTTTTTGTACTATCTTTTGTCGAGGTCGTTCGTCCTTTGTAAAAAAATATGTATCAGGGCTATTCAACCTTTATAAAGAAATTTTGATATATATAAGTCTTTTCCCTTTCATAGCTTTTGAATTTTTCCTTTGCTTTTTTATTTGTATTCGCAAAGGTCGAAATGACTTAGCATGAAATAATTAGGTTATGTTCGAAGGTTCAAACATACCTTGCCTTTAACGTTACCTAGGTGTTCGGTGTTACCGAAAACTTTTCCCCAAAATAATTTAGGTTTATAGCTTGCCGAGGGTAGCCTTTAGAACCGGTTATAAGAATATTTTGAAGGCCTTGTTTTTTGTTACAAATCTCGGACGTCTCTGAGTCTTGTTAATATGGCCGTAACCTTTTTAGTTCGGGAAATGCTAAATAAGCCTTTGTGCCCTTGGGTTTTGTTGACCCGGGAATAGCCTTAGCCTTTTAATTCGGGCAATGCCAAATAAGCTTTTGTGCCTTCAGGTTTTGTTAACCCGGGAATGACCTTAGCCTTTTAATTTAGGCAGTGCCTATAGTCCCCGAGTGAAGTGAATCTTCGAACTCGGATTAAGGTGGCCCTTGGGCTCGATACCTTTAGAGGATCGGGTGTAGGAAATTCCTTGAGCAATGCAAGAAACATTTTTTGAGGGCAAGATGTTTATGTGCAAAGAAGAGTCTTCTTTTTTATTCTTATGCATAATAGTTGTACATGTATATATGTTTTGTGATAAAGCTCGAGCAGTTTGAGCGGGTACGGTTCATTTGACCGTTTGGCCCTTACAATAAATCCTATTGATCGAGACCCTTCAATCACGAAGTTTCTTCCCTTGTTAAATTCGATATCCGATGATATTGCCCCAGTGTTCAGGGTTGACCAAAGAGAGGTCTCGAATGCTGTTGTGATCATTGTCACCGGTTTGTAGCCGGCCTTCAATTCTAAGTTAGCACAATTTACTTGTTGCCTCATTAAAAATCTTGCCGAAAAACTCATTTGGGATAAAGCCGGTTCAAGGGAAAAAGAGTGCAACGCGTTCTTTCAGACCTAGGGTCTCGTATCATCCTTTGTTGGTTACCTGCAAGTGTTAGTATAAAATATAAATAAAAAAAATAACGGGACCGCACCTTAACAGTAATATCTCTTTAAGTGAGTTATATTCCAGTTGTTTCGTAGTTGCTCGCCGTTCATTGTTCCGAGCTTGTAGGATCCTTTCCCGGTGATCTTGATAATTAGGTACGGTCCTTCCTAGTTTGGCCCTAATTCCCCTTCGTTCGTGTTTCGAGTACTTAGTGTGACCTTTCTTAGTACCAAGTCTCCGGTATCGAAGTGTCGAAGGTTGGCCTTTCGATTGTAATACCTTTCGATCCGCTATTTTTAGGCGACCAGCCGGACACGGGCGGCTTCACGCCTTTCATCTTATAGCTTCAGGCTCGTACTCATAGCTTCATCGTTTGATTCCTTTGTTGCATATTGGAGTCTGATGCTTGGCTCTCCGACTCAGTGAAATAATCTAAATGTGCATGAAAATTGTTTACCCTCAAAATCGGATAACAACTGAATTTGTTAGTAGTTTTATGGATATGCAGATTAACTTGATACAAAGTGATAAATTAGATTACAATTGAAATAAATAACAATAAACTAAATGCAAACCACATGAGTTGTATGATTCCAACGTAAGGAAGCAAGCCACCATTGAGTTGAATACACTTTTATTGACACAAAAATATCAAAGACTAAGAGCTTAGAGAATGTATTGCTTATCAGTATATGTTACAATGTTCCTAATGAATTGTCAAGTTCCCTTTGTATATTAGGGGAGATCTACCTTTTAAGGTATTGTTTTATTATGCTATAAAAGGCAAAAAGTCCTTGATTTGTTGACCGTTGGTTCCCTTTTTGAGTTGTTCCGTGACTTCTGCCATAATGACTGGTTAATGGCGAGAATTACGTACCCCTGTCGGATGAGTTGGCAAAGCTTTCTTCTAGGCCATTGGAAACATGACCGGTTACGCCTTCAGTAAACTCGAGAGCAAATCTGATGGTTTCGATTTTGACAATGCTTTGGGTTTGATCATAATTACCATGTGCCGATCTTGGCCGATGGTTTTATATGTTAGATCGATATTCGAGCTCGACTTCACCCGAACACAGATATTTCGACCCTGGCCTAATCAGGGAGTTCAGAAGCTCGATCGAATATCGAGCTCGGTTTTACCCGTATACAAAAATCATGAGAAGCTAGACATTCAATGATTTCTTCCTGCCTCTGCCTAAGTTTTGATGGATAGAATTACCCGATACTTGTGCGGTGGAGATAGTAGATACTCGGCGAAACTTATACGGTAAAGATAGCATATATTAAAAGAAATAATCGAGATGTGAACAAATTGATTCAGACACCATGATATCAAGAAAAGGAGAGCCAGTAGGTTTGAATAGTAGAGCATATTGAAGATATTTCTTATCACTGATTTGCTAATTTAAATTAGTTAATCTAAGTGATCACCCCGTCATCAGCGGCTAGTGCTCGCCCTGGCCAGGAAACAAGATCTTGCACTAATGCATGTTTTCTCTTCATATACAAGTCTCTTAACAATTGGTAAACTTGTCTTCATCTGAAAAGTTGAATCACTTTATGAGCACATGATTAAATTGAGGTGTTTTTTCGTTCTTTGGCTGACTTAAAGGTCAATCTCTTAGACTGCTAGCTTTTTCTTTTTTCTTTTTGAATAATGGTACTGCTAGGGTTAATTTTCGCATACTTTAATTATTTTATTGAGTACATGTTACCTCCACCGACACAGTTATTGGAGAAGCATTGTCAACTCCAAGATGACATAAAGAAGAGTATTGTAGTAAGTTGATGGCCAACGTAAAAATAATTCAGAAGTGATAAATGTTCTCAAATTACCATGAATATAATAAAATGGTTACATACTCCATCTAATTTAAGATTAAAGCCTAGTTAATTGATTTATTTTTTTGAGAATATACCTTGCCTTGGTGGATGAGAGTCCAAATGTGATATGACATTTCCAAGTTTATGGATGGGACCCTTTTATTGAATCAACCTGCAGTGATAGGTGCATATGAATAAATGCATGTTGCAGGGGGGCACATGTACTATATTGTTATTTATTTCCATATAAGAAAATGCTCATTTATGTTCGACACTTTGAGTGTAGTATGTGGAAGAACCACTCATTTTGTGGATGTCAAACAGAATAAATTCCAAATGTTTAGATTATATAAAAGAATTATCACTAAGGATTTGCTTTCATCCATCTAAATCGTGGTGCAAGAGTTATTTGGTACCTGTGCCGATGATAGGAAACAAGGACTCGATGGAATAGTCGAGCTACGTTCAAGTTGTCCCGACACCAATTACTAAAAAAAAGATGTAAAGAAATTATCCCTAATATCAGAAAATCTGTCTTTACTAAAATCAAGAATGACTTTTACCTTCCAGCCCCAATGAGATTCTGAAACATCAAGAAAATAGAGATTGAGAAATACTTAGTGAAGTTAGGTTTCAGCAAAATTGCCCCAATAAACTGTTGCACTATTGGTTTTCGTTACATGACAAGGTAATAACTAAAGGTAAGTTAGGCTTATCTGATCAGTGCTCAATATCTTGATGACAATCTTCTGAGGTTGATTGATTATCGGACCTTGAAATCATGATACATAAACTTATGTTTATGGGAATCTTGTCAAAAGACAAGTGAGAAAGTAAGATATTTGTATATACCTAAAGCAAAAGGGTAAAAAAGTGTACCTCTTATCTATCCTAAATATATCTTAATTTTACGCTCCGTTATAAGAATTTATATACCTTTATTGTTAGCAAATCGTCTCGTATTTGTACTTGAGCCTAACAAAGTTACACCTGAAGTATAACAAAGGTTAACTTTAGACCCATAGTCAAAAGTAGAGTGTAACTTTGGAACATTTTTCTAAATTAATTTGACATGTTGAACCACCCAATCCACGCTAGAACTCCGTTAAAGTTAAGAACATCAAATACGAAATGATTGGCTAACCGCAAGAATATGAATTGCCCTAAAATATATGGGACGATGAACTTAAGATATTTTGTATAGTAGAGTAGTAAATTGTGACTTTTTCCTATAACCTATGTATAGTTTTCAGATGCTTTTCCAAAGAAAAACTATGATTGAATCCTATGCTAATAAGATGAAGATGAAAGAGTGGGCTGAGGAACCTGGAATTATTGCCTTTTCTTTTTTTTTTTATATGTATAAAATCTCAGTGGCAAGTTATGAGCAAGTCACATCATCGAAAAAGTGTATATAAAGTAATCATGTTGTGTTGATCAGTTACTTGATCTCTAAAAGCACTTCACATTTTAGCAGTCTCCTAAGCATTATTGCTACTGTCCTTGTCAAATCTCAAATCTCAAATCTCAAATCTCAATTAAAATCCAAAATAAACATACCTTTTTAACCTTTTTCATATTTTCGTGATACAATGTTTTTGATCTTTGTTTGTATATATAAAGCTTAGTGCGAACACTTTTTCGGAATACGAGATATTTTGTGCACTGAGTTGCTATATATATATATATATATATATANAAGCTATAAGGTTTATGTATATTAGCTTATACCCTCATAATCTTTCTCATTAAACCTTTTAACAAACTGAGTTTTAAGAGTTTATTGTTCAATGGGGATCCCTGAATCTCCTAGTCCACCTCACTTATATCCTCAAGCACTTCAACTTAAACTTTATCAAGCTTTCATCTTCTCAATTCCAATACTTTTTTCTATAATCTTGTTTCTTTTGTTTTACTTGTTTTATCTTAAAAGAAGGGCTTCTACTGGTTCTAATTCCCCTGCTCTAACACTTCCAAGGAGTTCAACTCATGCTATTATTCATGTCAGTAAATATCTCCTAGCTGATTAGTCTATGTTTAAATTTCATAATATTTCAAGAACCATAGTATACAAACTAAAAAATTGGTGGTTTGCTAATAGTTTTCTTATTTTGCAGGGTGAGGTAGATATAAAGGGGATGCTCAAGAACAAGCTTCCTGTGATATTATTTGATGAAGATTCAATGATCAGAGATTCCCAGTAAGTTAAACTTTTGTTTGTGCTACTGGGCAAATCCATAGTCTTTATACAAAAAACTTGAGAGGTCTAATTCAAGAGTTTGAAAGGGGTGCCTCGGCGTAACTGATAAAGTTGTTGCCATGTGACCAAACAGGTTTTGAAACAGCCTCTTGCAGAAATGCAGACGTACAATAAACCCTCGTGGTCCGGCACTTTCCGATCCCGCGCATAGCGGGAGCTTAGTATACTGCCCTTTTTAATTCAAGTGTTCCATTTCATCCTTAAACTTTTGACAAGTCCTTATAACTTTTTAACTACATATCTTAGTTCACGAGTATAATCTTAGAATATGGACAAAGTAACTAAATGCTGCCAAAAGTTACAGATAAAAGGGTGCCTGGATTCTGATAATGATTTTTAGCTAATCCATGTGGTTCAAAGATTTCATTATTTGAACATACTAAAGTGAGCATTTCAAGTTCTAAGGTTGAATTAATATAAGACAATTTTGTCAACATAGTACTTATAATTATGAGGTAATTTGTCACAGGTGTTGTGTTTGCTTGGGAGAATTTGAGATCAAAGAAGAGTTGCATCAGTTACCTTCTTGTAAACACATTTTCCATGTCGAATGCATACGCCATTGGCTTCGTTCGAATTTCTCTTGTCCTCTCTGTAGATGCCATGTTATTATTACAAGACAAAATCCACAACCTCCACAGCAGCCAGCTTCTAATCTTGGACATAACAATCAACTCAGATTAGATGATGGAAATTCCAATAATAACAACCCTCCAAATATAAATGAAGAGGAAAGGGAACAACACGATAGAACGATTAACACAGCCAATATTAGCAGAGAAGAACATCATGTGGTGATAATTGAAGAATTGTGTAGTGCTAGTTCATCCTCTAGCACTGCTGAAAATAGTGAAAGAGATTCTTCTCATGTAGAAACTCTTGTTATCAGTATTAAGGCCTAATTTTGCTGCATTTTCTGGAAGTGTGT